GCTTTACTGCAAGAGGTTTCCAGCATGGCTATCCTGAACTAGGTTCTCTTCTGCCCCCTTCAAAATCTATCAATTTTTGGATCCTTTGATATGCCTTTTCAGCTATTCGACTACTGAAACCTCCTTACTGGCATGTATCCTGCTCCTGGTTGATTCAGAAGGTAGCAACACATTTAATTTCCTACTATTTTGATGTTGCTGCTGTTTAATTTGCCCCCCTAACAGCCTGCCTAGCGGTAAGCTGTCTGTAGAGTGGGAAAATCCAGTTGCTGATTACTACATGGCTTTATAGACTTTTTTCTTTTCAGCAAAACTTCATTTCTGCCGTGGTGCTTTTCCAGGGACTTCCTGAAAGTGGCAAGTATAGCTTATTTTAGTTATGTTCTTCATTCATCTCTGCAGCCTGATCGTGAAGTAGAGAGAAAAGAAGGACTCCAGTTTGCTAGGAAACGCTCACTGCTTTTTATAGGTATGTAACTCCCAAAAACTTGTATATTCATATGTTTATTTTGGTATTGCTAAGCGTGAATGAAGTGTACAATTGTATTTCAGGTTGGTAGGTTGATTTACCTTTTTTTTTTATAGTACCTAATTAATATGGGTTCCTTTTGCTGCATTAGTTCATACGCATGGATGTAGGTTTTAACTTTTTTCGGAGATGCTCTGCATTGACTGCAATTAGAAGTACTTTTCTCTGAAAGAGACTTACTTCATATACTGTGTAGGCATGAATTTTATATTTTCTTGAAACTAGCAGGATTTTTTAAATTCAGAGCCCAGAAGACTAGAATTTTTCTCCTGACTTATGTCAGCAAGGACCTTGGGTAATCTCTTTTTCATTTCCAGGTTTCTGTTGCAGCTACATAAGAGAAAATGTTCTTAGACCAACAATAAAATGCACAATGTGAAGATATAAAGATGGGGAACAAATTGTGTGGTTTTTTTTTTAAAAAAAAAAAAGTACCTTTTAGGTGAAGCTGCTTGAAAAGATTTCCAGAAGGAACTGGAACAAACACATAGGGGACAAGATGTAATTCCCTCTGCATTCTTTGTTTCCCAGCTTAGTTATGGAATAATTATTTTGTAGATTTACTGTCACAACCTGAGAACAATTTCTGTTCCGTCATTATGGAGAGAATGGGGAGCTGTGGAATTTTTTTAGGTGGAAAAATGAGATGCTTGACGGGGATGCGTTTCTGTTTATCATGTTCAACTGAAGTGTGCCTTCAAGGGAGAATGGAGAGGGGGTTCACTTATTTCAAAAATGTATGTCTTCTCTCTGATCACAAGAGAACTTCTTAGAAAGTGGAATACCCCCTGCAAATAAGATCATTTTTTTTTTTCCCCCCTCCACCAGAGACCAGTGCCAAGACACAGGATGGAGTGCAGCACGCCTTTGAGGAACTAGTCATAAAGATCCTGCAGACACCAGGTCTTTGGGATAAAAGCACAGAGAAGCGGGGAGTCCAGCTAATGGAATCTTCAGCACAGCAGGATAAAAGCTTATGTGGTGCATACTGTCCACTTTCTTAAACCTGCAGGTGGCTGTTCTGTCTGAATGGAGTGGACTTTTTTTTTTAAAGGGGGTGGGGGGGAAATTCCAAGCACTAGTCTGTGCCTTGTTTGACGTGCCACCAGTTGCATAGATCCAAAACCCAAACTGATTAGCAAAATACATTTTTGTTCAATAACAAAATACAATTTCTCCTTCCTTATGTACAACTGATATCTCCAGATATTTTTCTGGTAACTGTCAGATTTCTCACTATTAAATCATAGTGCTTCTAAGAGTATTGTGCTTTTGCTGTATGGCATTCAACATGGCCTTTTTCTGAAATTCCTGCCTTAGCATAAAAGAAGGTAGTACTCCATTTTGGAATATTACTGAAAAGCTGCTCTTCCCCCAGCATGGCATGGGAGTCTTTTATGCACCCAAGTTTCCTTAAATGTAGTTAACGGTTGGGAGTCACCCTGAGCAGTGACATTGTTTCCCTATTTCAGATGGTTTTAAGTAGTCGAAATTGCTACATGTCCCTAGAGAGTAAGTTGAGTTACTATTTAATTTTAGGGTTGTAGTGAAGAGGCATATCTATTAACATTTGGCACAATTCCTGTGCAGTATGCTGTAGGTTACCCCTTGCTGCTCTTAAATACGTTGTGCCAAGGATCAGTGGTGAAATGGAGTTTTCATTTTGGGGTGGTTTACACTGTGGGTCCTTTTTGTAGTTAACGGGGCTCTCTGCAAACCCATGTTCCTGCCCTTGTTCAGCAATTGCAGGGCTAAAATTAAGTTTAATATAAAATGTGCTGGTTATGGAAGACTTTCCACTAGGATGGGTCTGTCAATATATTGTCAAACCCATTAGGAAGTTCTGTCAGATAACCACCTCTTTTTACCTTCCCCCTGTTAAACTTGCTGCCTTTTCTTGCAAACAAACCGAGTCATGGAAGATGTTAACCTAAACTCCGATCATGGTAGCAATGCCTCTAGAAGGTTGGCTGGTTGGCTGCCTGCAACACTGTGGAAGTATCAGATTTGGGGACAATATTAAAAGCATTTAAAATGTAAACTGAGGTGCTTGTAAATGGGTGACAAATCCAAAGACAGTCATTCATTACAGGACATTGTCAAGCCAGAACAGAAGAACTGCCCTTTTCTTAAGATGCATGTTTTGATGATTCATTGCTATCAAGTTAATTTATATTGGTGGGTGCGCCTTCCTGAGTACTGCCAGTGATTTGTCATGAGTGATACTACAACACAGCTGAAGGCAAGGCGTATAAAGTTCAGCTTCACTTTGGAACTATTCTAGCTTGTTCTCTGCAAAGTTGCTCTTTGTGGAGCTGTTTTCTTCTGTGAAAAGTGTGCTTGTATAATTGTTGCTAAAGTGAATAGAAATACCTGCATTGGGTTTTTGCATCAGCTTCTGTCTGCCTTGCAATGGATGCAAGTGGCTTGCATAGCTGGAATATCACTCCTGTGTATTTCCCTCTGCTGAAATCAGTCTGAGGGAGATGTCAGATCTTACAGTAGTTTTTAATGTCTTCAGCAGTAGAAACACATCTGCTTACTGCCAGCTGAAGGACTGCTTCTTACACTTCCATCTTGGTTTGGGTCTATAAGATGTTCCTTTGTAATAATTACTCATATCAGCTTATGAGAGAGTAGAAGAGAAAGTTGTTTCTGTTGGTGTGACCAATAGCAACTGGGTAGGCAAACTATAAGCAGATCACAGAGGCCATGGATTGTTAAACTACTGAGCGCCTATCAGCAAAACGTGAGCATGCCACAATTTGAGATTGTCAGGAATCTCCAGGGGTAACTGCAAACAGAGCAGGCACACAAGAAAATAAGACTAGGAAGTCAAGTTCAAAAGATGGGAGGCCATGGCAACTGTAACAAAGCCATAAAACCAGGTGGGAAGGCTAGGAAGGAGACAACCATGAGAAGACAGAGATGGATGACTTGCGATCAGCAGGCCATACAATGGGCCTGGTGCACTCTGCTGTTTGTATTGTTTTTTTCTGGTGATGGGCATGGCTCTTGTGCAATGAGCCTGTCACCAAGGTAGTCACTTCTTTCCTACATTTCCTGGGGTTAAGGAAGAGACTGGAGAGAAGACTCTGTTCTGTTGCTGTCCTCTTGAATGTGGGCAAAACTGCTTAGCTGGTCTGTGCCACAGTTGGTATCTGCCTTCCTTAGAAGGCCTCGCTTTTAAGAATGGTGTATTTTTTAGAAATAATTAAGCAGCTGGCAGCCCTTTTAAAAGTAACATCATCTTCCTTTGCATCATGCTTCAGTTTGCTGCCAATGCAATATGCTTCCTCTGTTGTATTGGGGGAGGGGGGGAAACCCTGAAGCAAAATCCACCTTGATTAATTTTTGTTGTTGTTTATAGTAATAACAATTTTTGAGGGAAGTGAGCTAAATGGTCTTTCATTCAGGTTTGAATATAGTCAGGTCTGAAAGTAGTAATGTAAATATATACACTCATTTTTACTAGAAACTATAAGAACTGTGCCTACAGTTCCAGATTTGCAAAATGAAATGTAAAATCGAATATTTAGGTCTGAGCGAACTATTCCTGTTATGGAATGCTTATATGCAGTGAAAAAGGTATCATCTGATTGTCTGGCTTTGCCTTTCTAACCTCAAATATCAAGGAAAACAAACTATATTACAAATTTGACTGGTGGTATCACTGGAAATTACCACAGATACTCTTGCTATGACATCAGAAGCTAGTCCATGACATGGTGAAAGTCCTGTGAACGTGAACAAATAGCTCTGGCAAAGCCAGGCCCTGTGCAGTATTTAGCCTACTCTGTGATAGTTGCCAGTTGTGAGCAAAGAGCAGCGATAAAGAAAATTCTAGGTGCTGTTGACTATTTGATTTGCAAGAACAAGCTAGAATTTGGTACATGTTTCTAAAATTATTGTGCCCCCACACTTCAGTCAACAGTTTTGGTTTGTGGGGTTTTTTTGGTTGGTTTTTTTTTTTTACACCAAGATGGTAATTTTTTTAACTGAAAAACTGCTAATAAGCATCTTAAACTATTTGAATTATAAATTGAACAAAGGTAAGAGAAAAGAGACCTGCTATCAGCATGAAGCGTTTGCAGAGATCCTGTTGGGAAATTCCACTCCTCCTTATCACTAGATGTTTTAAAACTGTAGCCAGTTAATATCTTGTTGAATGACTGTCAAGTGAATTTGTCTTCTGATGAAGCTTGAGCTAAAATAGATCAAGGAAGCTTTTGATCCAGGTTCATGCTTCTGTGAACAGAAAAACCCTTAAACAATATTGCAACTCTCACTGAGAGTTGAGGCACAATATGACTAGTTTGGCACATAAACAGGAAAATATTATGGAAGAGGGTTAGGTAGCTCTGGAATGAGAGCACTCCCCTTCCTGTCTCTGCAAGTCTGAAATATTATTCCTGTTTCTACTGCTTCTGCAAAGCAATGCAGACTTGTAGTGCTTTCTCCAGCAAAAGCTGTTCCAGGGTTTGTTGGGGGATGCTGACAGGGGAAAAGCTGGGTGAAGGGATTTGAGGCTGAGTAACTTCGCAAGACTTGTTTTCACTTAAGGCTTCCCCTTACCTTAAGATCTTGTGTGGATAATAAGCCTCCACCCGCACAGACCCAGCATTTTAACCTGGGCAAGATTTAGGTAATGGTACCCCCAAGTCTGTGTCATGACAATGCCTCAGATGGTAAGGAAGTCTTCAGGTAAACGTAGAGCAGGGGCTTGCTTTAGCCTTTGAGTCACCAAATGAAAGTGATGATAGAAAGGGTAAGGACAGGGGGGAAAAAAACCCCAAAACCAAATCCACACCAACCCGAATGTGTTCCTGCTTTCATATCTTGTTAGTTTGTTTATATGCATATTTAAATGGGAGTGCTGGGAAAAGGAAAATGAAGTAGTGACAAAGAACAGCAAGAGAACATGGTGACTTTGCACGTGACTGCAGAAATGAGAAGGTGGTGGGGTGTTTAAAAAAAACCCAAAACTATATATATATATAGGCAATGAATAGGGCAACATAACAACTGTGAGAGGCAGCCCAGTAAAGATTCTTACAAGAATGGTATCACAAACTTGTTACCTCTTGCACAGGAGGATCAGAAGCAGATTGGCCAGATCGAAAGGCAGTAAGAAGCTCTTGGAAAGGCGAGCCGAGATACAAGAAAGGCCAGGGAGGGTGGACTGTTGGAACGAGCGCCTTCAGAGGAGGTAGCTGGTTCCATTTGGTCCAGGGGGGCAGGGGTGTGCATGTACATAGAAAGGAAGGGGGTTGCATAATATTAGGGGATGGACTGACAGTTTACAAAAGCGGAACTACAGCTGTCAGCCTTTCATTTCCACTGATAATGTTTCTGAAAAGCTGCACTGCCCCCCACGCAATTATATCCACAGAAGGGCTCCTGGAGAAAGAGTGCTTATTATTAACAGCTAGTGTTATGTATTCTCCTACAGAAGACTTGACTGAGAATGCTAATAAGTTGGTCATTGGTGTACAAAGGGAATACGATGTGTAAGAGTAGGGAAAAAAAAGGATGAAGTATACTTCCATTAATTACAGTTTTCTTACAGTGCCTGACAAAACCCACAGCAATTTTTTTTCACAGCAGAACACCAGACCCTTTAAGCAAGACTGCTACACAATCCTGGATCTCCTCACAGAGCATTAGGTATGCTGCTTGCACACAGGTTTCACTTTATAAAAATGTACATATCACAAAAAGCTGGGTTAGAGGTGTCAGGGTTCTAATCTGTGCACATCTCAGTCATGTTGAAGGTACGTATTTTTTATAGTAAATTGTCATCTTAATCCTATTGCAAATCTGGTTGGAGAAACAGATTCTTCAAAACCATCTAAATGCATGTTTGAGCTCACTGACTGAAGCACGCCCTGGATGTATTGTACACAACTGATTTTTAGAAAGGGAAGCCGTTTCAAATACGGCTGGTGTATGGAAGACCACCTGAAAACTGCAGATATTAACCAAGGCTTATCCTTCAGTACTA